AAAAAAGAACCCACCTCTGGGTTCATTTGGGTGTATGTGCCATATCTCTGGAACCCATTGGTCGATGTTGATGATTGACACCTCTTTTGAACCGTTAGAGCCAATAGAATCAAGAGGGAGTTCCTAAATTCACCCACATGTTACCATTGAGGAGTGAGAGTGATGCGCACGCAGCTTGCCCAAACCGAAACTATGTTATGCTCTGAAAACAGAAAACTAGGCTTATTGCCATAAATATGATATATATATATGAGTAATCATTTAAAAGTGACACAGAGACATTGGATTAACCTTCAGCAGCGTTTATCTGCGTTTTAATGCCCTTGAACGCCACTTTTGATCAGAAAACAGCAAAGGTAAGACATATTTGCCCTTTTGGCTACGTAAAGTGAAGTTGTGTGTAGTCTTTGCTGGCTTTTGCTGCCGAGAGTTTTGGTCGTGGAGTGATGATACTTATACCATTGGAATCAGTGGAATCTCAGATTTCGTATGTTTGTATGTTTCGTATGCTTTCGTATATCTTGTTTGTGCAGAACCGATGAAGTATAAAATATTTCTAACATCAGTTCTGGGCTAAGTGCGTTAGCATTTTTTCGCTTAGTGCTAATTCAGAGGCTCAGGGTTACACTTGTGTTTTGTTTCGGTAAAAATGATTCATATCGTCAGTTAGCTGAGTTTCTTCCCGTTAAGTGGGTATGACACATTCATAGGTTGTTAAATGTTAAGAAGCCCTGAGACACAGTTTCGTGAGAAAAAAAAGCCTGTAGCCCCGCCGGCGGGGGCTATGGGGCTTACAGATAAGGAGTATGCTTTCAGGGAAAATGTTATGCTGAGCTCAAGGTTAGACGAGACAAAGCCATTGTCATTCACCAGGCACCTCTTTCTCCTCTCTCAGCTCTCTCAAACCTCCCTCGTTATGCTGATCTATGTCTTTTTGTTTAGTTTCCCTCGCAGTAAACTCCACTTCATTCTCTTAATGCCTGCCAAAAAAACAACCAACAAATGCACCCGCTCACCCTGGTGTAGCACGAATGCACCCACACACATGCTGTACAGAGCACACACGTTTCTAAAGCTCACCTCCTGTGTACCCGACTCACTCTCTCTCCTGCTCTCATCCAGGGCCTTCTGCAACAGAGACTCGTCTCCTTGGCGACAGCACTGGTCCTGCAGGGGCGGTATCGTGATATCAACATTATCGCCGCGGTTATGAGCGTGGACACACACACACACACACACACACTCACACACGACACACACACACACACACACACACACACACACACACACACACACACACACACACACACACACACACACACACACACACACACACACACACACACACACACAAGTGAAACAGAGGCAGCGCTGGTGGCTTTTTTTGTGCAGATGAAATATTTAGTTGACAGTGAGCAGAGGCTGGATCAGAGCAACACAGAGGATTTTTTTTACTGTAGATGGAGAAGATTAAATTATACTTGTGCGAGGAAAGAGGGATGTATGTTTGAAAGAGCAACAACAACAAGGTGGTTAATGGATTAGTAGATTTAGGGAAACATAATAACTTCTATTTTGACAATCAAGTGAAGTCATTTTACAATCAAAATGGCAGAATTGGGTATTATGGAGATCTTCTCTGTTTTATATCATATTCAAGTGTGGGTTCATTATGATTGACAAACATTTAATTTGGATTTCGGTTGATTTCTTTCAACAATTTTGTTGACGAAATAAAAGATTCCACATATAAACCTGTGATTAAAATGTGCGTTGAAGGCAGGCCAAGTGTTTGAGAGCCGGTCGATATTTAAAGGAGTTAGCTGGCTATCAAAAATAAGAAGAAATCACTGGATGGCAACAAATAAGCAGTTTACTTAGAATGAGTCCTATGACACACTCGACTAGAGGGTTAATAAATGCTGACACTGAATGGTGAGCTGTGTAGTGAGGTGTGTTTCTGTGTGTATAACTACTCAGGCTACTTTAGGAGAAGGCTTGGAGCAATCTGTAGTTGTGTGTCTTCATCCATCTCTATGGTAACAGGGAAAGGAAGGGCTAGCTAGATTAAAGTGGGCGTATGTTCGGAACATTTCTACCAAAATTGTCCTTTTGGAATCATGTAGAGGCAACGAGACATGTGGCTGCAGAGGAAGGTCTCTGTGTGTGGAGGAAGAGTATGCTGTCACTGAGAGATGAAGGAGATTACACAATTTTGTAGTGTGTGTGTGTGTGTGTGTGTGTGTGTGTGTGTGTGTGTGTGTGTGTGTGTGTGTGTGTGTGTGTGTGTGTGTGTGTGTGTGTTACCTTCTGACTCTCCTCCCTGCTCATGGCTAAAGCTAGTTGCAGCTGCAGCTCCTCCTCGCCGCTGGTCTGAGGTCGAGCCTGCTCCAGGTCTGAGGCGGCGCGAGGGGACGAGGACGAGGCTGCAGAGGCTGCAGAGGGAAGGAGTTTTAGTGAGGAAGCAATGAGTGTGTATGATGAGAAAATGGTCAGATTGACGTTGGGTTGAATGACGCACTGAGGCAAAGAGCACAGGAAGTGGGGGGCTCATTTGAATATTTTCATGCCCACGCAGCAGTATTGGTAATCCATGTGGCGGATTGTCCAAAATGCTCGGCTTCAGCACAAAATGCATTTCATTGGGTATCAGCGTGAATGCAAGGGAGAATTCTTCATCCACTTAACTGCCAACACATAAAGTTAGCTGTTCTGTGCTCTAGATAAGTTCAGAGTTTTAAGCAGTGATTAATTTTTATGAAACAAAAATCGATGGCAATGGAGCTGATAGTGATAAATGACAATTATCACCAGAGTATGGAGCTCCTCTGAGCTTTACAGAGCTTTATATCAAGGGTCAGCTCGTTGTTCAGCTGTCTGGCAACGCTACTGTTGTGATCCATTTTCACATCCTTCAAAGTGCTGTTTTCAGTCGCAGCAAGCAGGTGTTTTCAGCAAAGTAATGCAAGCCCAGTGACTTTCTCTCACATAGTGCATGAGAGACAGTCCCATAAGAAAGCTGGATGTACATTTGCCTATTTAATTCTCTAAGACGCTTTGAGAACACTTCCAGCTTAAATCTCACCTTTGCATTGCTTAACATCATTTAAAAGGCTATTTTTAGCTTTCCATCCTCAGTGTGCAGTAAAGAGCATATTAAAGCTTAGTACACTACAAAAACGTAAAGAGGACGTCATACTGGATGATATCATGGACAAGCGGCCATTAAGGGAGATTTACGCTTTATTAGAAATGTTTTCAAACTGTGTTCTTTTTTTCTGTTTTGTGGTATTCAAAATGTTCCTACTCCATTGATGAGCGGGTTAAACCTATTGTATACTATCTGTAAAGCAACACAGCAGACACATTTAGTGACTAGCTGGTGAACACAGTGGAGTACTTAGCAGCTTTAGAGACAGATACAACACAGAGCTAAAAGACATTGACGAATGGAAATACTTTGGCCACGTTGGCAGAAACACAACTTCAAACAATTGTAAATGTTGCTCCGTAACTGTTCGCTTCCCGCCAAGTAAATTTAAAAGGGATGATATGTCGCTGCTGTGTTCACAAATTGTTTCTGCTGCCTCCATGTGGCCCAGAAATGTAAGTTATTGCAGTTTTAAATACCCTCAGAACTCACAGTTAAATGAAGATGGAGAGCCTCGGGAGCGGCTGAACTCCTCCCCGTAAAGCACAGCCATGCTGGGCTGGCTTGTCCGCCTGCCTGGGTGGTAAGACGGTGGTATACCTCCATACACCCCTCCGCCCCCTCCACTGCCCCCCCCAGCCATTCGCTCCTTGGTCTTCAGGGCCTGACTCCTCTCCTGTCGAAGCCGCTCCTCATCCCGAAGGAGACACACCAGTTGGCGGGCTTTTTCCCTCACGTTGGCCCCCTGATCTCTGCCGTCACGGTCCATGTACTGGAAGTCTCGTAGCGTCTGAACCACACATACATAAAATAAATGTTAATTATATTTGAAGGATGACATTTACTTAAACAAATACAATTCAAGCTGTGGTAATGAAGATGTAGGAAAACCCCAATAATTTAAATCTCAGAAAAGAACACTATACAGTATGTGAGGAAATATGGTTTGTTCATTCTCCTTTGAAAAGGATAATCTCCGTTTTTTTATAGATATCTTTTGTTTTTCGTAGTTTTCAAATCGTATATGGGGAAACAAGGATTGTTTGACTTTGTGAATTTAGAGAATATATTTTAGGGGTTAATTGTTCTATTCAATGTTTGAAAGTAATTTAAGCCACAACAGTACATATAGTGTACTATTTGCTGATCATAATGTTTTTTCATTATTTTTTATATGGACCCCAGAAAGAGTAGTAATTTCCAAGGTTAAAACTAATTACAAACCAATAAACTACTGTATAAAGCAGCTCTGTTCCTGAGACAGTCAGATTGATGAGGTTCTCCTCCTGTTTCAGTCCAGTACCTGAATAGTGAAAGCGTTCTCACGGCACTGTTGGGCCACTCTATCTGATCCTGTCTTCAGCAGGTAATCCAACAGAGTCAGGGCCTGGAGTCAAAAGCTGATTAATACACTGATAGTACATTAATATCATACACAAATCTACTGTACAGGGCGATCTGCAATGACATGGATGCAGGAGAGTCTGCAGCCGTGTTAGCCAATGTGTGAGGCTGTACAGGTAAGCTAAAGGCTTAGCATGCTGAAATACTTACAATACTAATGCTAGGATTTTTTGTTTTAGTTTGCTAGCATGCCAAAATATGTGGGCTTTAGTTGTATGCAAGTAAACAGTCCGGCTGGAGAGCTAAAGTGGTGGGATGCATGGGCCCAATAAATCCTGGAATCTATCGACTATAAACTGATGTCATTTTAGCTTAGAATTAGCTCTAAAATGGCGACTTCAGAAACAACCCTGTTATGGACGTAGTCTCTCAACTCTAACTCCATGCCTCTGAAGTTGCAAATTGCACTATAAACAACAACATTAAAAAGGAAGTGTTGACCTGATATCCATAAGCTACAGGAAGCTAATGGGTTTTTAGATTGAGCTCATTATGGCCCAAGAGGAAAGTCAGAGGATCCCCCAAGTCAGCAAGATACCTTATCTACGCACTGTTGATAATATATTTTACAATTTTGGGACAATTCATGGAGTCGATATTGTGACATTTGTCAGGATGAGTGAAAATGTAACCTACGGTTTTCACTAGAGGGACAGTACAGCTGTGTGATATGTTCTCTAATATCTGTCAAAATCCATTACAGTTGGAAAGGTGTTTAATTCCTAACGACAGATGTCAACCTCAGTCAATCATCAAATAGGAGAAAGGTGACGGGCGGTAAATGGTGGTGAGAGGCCAGCGGTCAGAGGGAAGCTAAAGAAACAGCTGAAGCTTTAGTAAGCGAGAAGAAGGAAGGGAAACATGTACACAGAGAGGATTTATAAATATTCTGAGCAGCCGAATCTGACAGAACTCTCTCCTGAGGTCACCTTGTAAACGTGCCTCCAGTTCTTGCCGCTGTCGTTCAGGCGTTTCCACACCATGCCCATGACCTCAGCAAACGCCACCACATTGAAGGTCAAGTCAGCGATCTCTGACATGAGAGACGAGGACGGGCCCCATGGATCATTCGAAGTGGCTTCACGAACCTACACGTGACCAACAGAGGATCATTGACATCCTTTTCTTCTCATATTTGTATGCATATCATTTTCTTTCTCATCCAAAGTAACCATATCATAACAAATGACAAATAACAGATGTCAAAGCAAGTTTATAGTTAGATGAAGTTGGGTTCTGACGTTAATTGATCTGATGTGACTCGACATTGATTTAAAGGCATTAAATCAGAATGACGTACAGCTTGTTTTTAATAGGCTACCTTGATCTCTGCTTCTGAATAGTTGTGCACGATATTCTTCACCTGCCGGCGCAGGGCTGAGGTTGTCATGGTGACAGGTTATGGAGGATGTGGAGGGATAGAAAAATGTAAAAAAAACAACACTTAACAGATGAAGAGACGGGGTGAAAGGGGGAACGTGGACGAGGGGAGGAGAGGTAGCTATGGCAATGAAGGCTCCTCTTCTCTGTCAGGAGTTATAGGACGCCCCTGTAAGAAAGAAAAACAGACATTATATGAATAAAAGTAAACTCTAGAAATAACTTCATTCTTACTCTTTTTGGGGACGATCTAATTAGCTAAATATAGTTTTTTTTGTATCCGTTCAAGGGGCAACACATAAACACAGCAATAGACTGGTTTTAGAATTTAGACCAAATTAAACAAAGCAATAGAAACATCTAAATAATACAATGATTATTAATATGAAAATGAAACAGTATGCAAACCAGTTGTTATTAATGATGGTTGTGTCCATGTTATGTATGGCGACATGTGTATTAGTGTGTGTTGTTAATAGCGTCAATGAGCACACTGAGGAATACACACAATAACTGATGATAGTGACTGAGTGAGTGGCTCAACACTGGTTCCCTGCTCAGGAAGTAGGTCATACAGAAGCTTTGGCACTCAGGTGTCTGATGGAGCTTCTTGGCAGCTTAATTTATTCAGGCCAACACACACATGCAGCTGCCTGTTTGCCCACAGACACACACATAACCCATTTTCTCTTCTGAGTCCATAATTCAGATAGGACGGAGGGGAATCGATCATTCAGGTTTCCTGTCACACTTTTCTCCAGTGATACTTCCCACTATCCCCTGATACAACTCCATGTGACTGACACTGAACACACTGTACTCACCAAAGTAAAGCTGACCTCTGGTGACCTCAAACTAAACATCTTCCCTTCAGTGATCAGCTAACACACAAAGTTATTTTTAAATGGTAATATAGAGGTGATGTGTTTACATTCTTATCATTATCTATCTTGGGGTATCATCTGCAGATAAAAGAACACCTGACTTGCTTTAGTAACTTGTTCAACAGTATGTATGAATGCTATTCACAAGAGTCAGGGCTATTCAATTAGTTTGGAATGGGGGCCGGTTGATGAAAATGATCCAAAGCAAGGGGCCGGGAAAAAAATGGCTTGAAATATGAGCAATCATATTAAGAGCTTCAGATACAGTAAATACTACAGCAGGTCACCCTTGAAAAAGAGATAAATGATCTCAATGGGATTCACCTGCATAAATAAAGGTTTGAAATGAAATTAAATGAAATGAAATGACTACAACAGCATAGTGGAGTGCATATATTTTGTTTAATTAAATCAAAAATAGCCCCAAGGCCTTTATAAATGGCAAGTTCAGAACTCAGTACATGTGAAGCTAATATAACCATCAACATCATTAGATTTAGATTAAATGATCTAATAATTCACACAAAATAGCAATTTAGGGCCATACACAAACAACAGTGCATATTATGGTATAATAACAATAAAGACAAGTGAGCCATACCACATCAATTGCTTAATTAAAAGCAAAAACAATTATCAAAAGACTTGTATTAATTACCAAACCACAACACACAGCCTTTTAAAACTCAAACCTTTTTTGATTAACATAGTGATAACTGACATACAGTATGCAACCAACTTGGCAGATATGTGCCATCTAATGAGAGAAATGGCATTTTTTCGATTTAGCAAGAGCAGGGAAGTCGGGAGTATACGTTGTCATGGCAATACGCATACAGTGATGCAGATACTGGTCAGTGAGGGATGCTCGATTATTAGTTTTTATGGCATTCATGTGTGAGAATGCCGATTCGCACGTGTAAGTCGAGCCAAAAATTGTGAGGACAAAAAGTGCAAGACCCCTTGAATGAGGGAATTTCTCGTGGCTGACTTCATGAGTCCAGAACTTTTCAGAACCTGCCAGCTGAAATGACTGTCGCAGGTCATCTGATGACTGAATGTCAATGAGTTCGAGTTGTAAAGACGCCTCATTTAATGTCACAATCAGCTCCTTTGCTTTCAGTGCAAACTCCCCCTCTACATTCACAGAGAAAGGGTCCTTCACAAATCTCATCACTTCAGTCGGGAGACTGAAATGGTCAAACCTCGCGGCAAAGTTGGTTTTCAATGCGTCCATAAATCCAGTCATCACCTTGGTGATTTGTAAACCTGCAGTGCGCATGGTTGGAAAATGGAGCATTTTGCCTGGACATAAATCCGCAAAAAAAAGTGTGAGCTTTTTTTGAAACGCATGGAGTCTCTCCACAAGTTGTGTAACCATTTTATCTCTGCCCTGCAGCTCCAAATTGAGTTGGTTCAGATGTTGGAAAATGTCGCTCAAAAAGCAAACAGCAGCGTAAAACTCATAATTCTCTATCAGACACAGAAAGGCGTTGGCTTTTTTATGTTTTGAATTGCGGAGAAACGCCATGATCTCCTCCTTAAGTTCACAAAATCGTTTCAAGCCCCCTCGGGTTTTGTTAGCAGTAACCCAAATCCAATCCCAATCAAGTAATGTCAAAGACTTATACACAAATATAAGACTTATACAGCCCAACAACGGTAGACATGCATCCGCCGCGCTAAGAATGTATGCAACGGATACCAATACCGCCACTACGGCACGCGCATAAACCTTTACAAGTATAACTATAAAAAAATTGAGACCGAAACATTATTTTTTATACCGTTTTGCTTTTGTCGGTTCGCACGTGTCGAAAACCTAAGTGTTCGTTTCTTCGTCCTTCCTCAGATTTTTCACTGTTGCACTTGCCTTTTGTTGAAAATCCACACGCCGACATTGCCGCAATCCCAGCTCCGAACTGTCGAGGTGTGGGCTCCGCTCTCCGGACGGCTACGCCTCGGACTTCTGCGAAGTTGTTGCCCCGGTCGTAGGCGGCGTCATGCACTGTGGCAGGCATATCATCGTTAACTAGCGTAGGCGCGAACGACGCGGTCAGTTGTCTCGCCGCACACTGTTAATCACGCTCTACACGAGACTTTTTATCCCGAGGGGCCTTTCGTTTCCCATTAAGCTTTGACTGTCTCGAGGCGGAGATATGTATTAGTTGAACTCTGCACACTTTCGTGGAAAAAACAAACAAATTCTATTAACAGCCTTAGCACTGGACACTCGGAAGACTTAATGGCACCCCTAGTCGTGTAAGATTTGATTTTACAAGTTAGTTATTTCATTGTACAGATAGAATAGAATTATTATAGAAGTATCAATTATTTTATTTTTAGTATGTCATACCAGGCTTTCCTCGTCTCCTTCGTTGTGTTTTTATATGTTTTTTATATGACGATAATTTCGTTCGCTACATTTCCAATTTCATCTCGTATTGTTTATTTCTTCACATTACAATTGTAAATGGGATTAATACTAATAAATTATCACTATTTCCTGATATATAATAACTTAATCGCTCGCTCTATGAAATTCACTAGATTTTATAACTACACAAGTTTACGAGAAGTTTTGTCGTTGCAACTTTCAGGTACTTTGAACAGAAAGACATAACACTTACTTCGCGGTAGAGGACCAATTTTGGACCTTTAACTTTTAGACCGTTGCGGGAGAACCTTTTATACCACTCCCGAATTGTAGGAGATATGAGCCAGAAACGTCCCAGCATCCGTCCTTCGACATTCGACCTCAGACTTTAAGTCACGATGTAGACATGCAATTTTTTTTTGCTTTCCAACTGTGGCTTTTGGCCGTAAGTTGTCGCTCACGCATCTCATCACGAACCACATTTACCGTCGACCATCAAAAGACACAAATTAGATAGTGTATTGTCCACGCATAATAGGCAACACATCCAACGTGGTTATGTGACAGTCGAGTTCAGGGTAAATTCTGTGGCTCGAGTGCAGGACGACGCAACTGGTTAGGTAGGAGGTCGCCGTGTACGAGCAGGTGTCGAAGTCCTTGCATAACGAAGATAGAAGCACGAGAGACTGGATTTCTGCCGTGACAGAACAAAGACGACACGTGGGACGGGTGGTTGGGTGAAGTTGTCGATGGCGTCGACACGTGGGATGCTGACGTGTGGACGAAGTAGTCCGGTATGTTGCGTATAGTTGCGTCCGAGGTGTTGGAATGCCTGGCGTCTCTGCAGTTATAGTCGGACATACCAGAGCGTAGGTTAATGTGTCGTGGCATCACCCAACGTATCATTGCGCTCTATGAGACTATATCGCGAATCACTGACTTAATACCTAGTCATAGGGTAAAGACTGTGCAGTTGTAGGATTCATTAGTTCACGTCTGAGATCACGTAGCGGCTGCATATCTCTGATGAGACTGTTCTGACCTTCACTGCCATCCAATTATAGCCATCGATAACTACGTAGGTGACTGTCGTTGCTAGTCACGTGTCGACACGGAGATACAGAGGGTGGTATCAGTAAAGAAGAGGCTACCAGCAATAAGGATAAGACCGCCGGAGAACTGGATCGTCTAGTATTAATATTGACACAGACCTGTATACTGGAAGCTCCAATCAAGTTATGTTGACGAAGACACAGAAGATCCTCGCGTTCGATCGTAACCCTAGGTCAAATAATTATACGAATATTGCTGCGAGAGGACGATCACAGCGTCCAATAGGGTGTGTCCTGAGTGCACGGCGATCCGAACCGTCTACACCGAGGTGCGAATCTAGCGAAGTACTGATTTGCTGCGGTCTACAGAGGACATCGCGATATAAGACTAACTCAGACTCACATAAGTGTAATCTACCGATCGTGTT